GGTGTCAGATCAGGAGATCTAGGCGGCCAACTTCAAGGTCCGTTACAACCAATCCAGCAGTCATCAAACATTCCTGTGACTTCTTGATATATATACCTCGTGGGTAGAATGTGCTGGAGCTCTATCCATTTCATACCAACTATTTAGAACATAGATTGTCTAAGATGTTTGTCTTAAACTGTTTAGGTTTTCATTATAAATTTCGTAATGAACTTGGTCACCCATAATCATTGGAAATACGTTGACACCAAGAATCCTGATGGTGTGTCTCCTTTATAACGTATGGATTTTCACAGGCCAAGTAGTGCATATTCCTTCGATTTATTACACCGTCTCTGATAAACTTTTAGATCCGACCAGATGATTTTTGATAAGAACTGTAGATCCTCTCGAATTTTTGAATTTTGATTTTTTATGAGCTAAAATTCGCAAAATTCTGTTCTCTTAGGAAACAGATAATATTGCTAGAGATATTTCAGTTTTCTTTTGTGTATCGTCTAAATACAAAAAAAATGGTTGTTTATTTAACGGTTACCTTTCTGTTTTGTATAAAAAGTTGTAGTATTAGAGTTCTCTCTTTGTAACACCAGCAATACTGTATAATCTTTATTATCTTCCGTTCGGAATAGAAAAATTATGTCTATCATAGACAAAATAGCTAAGCTATATTGTTTGTGTGTATTAAAATATTATGTACATTTATATATTTATGTTACATGTGACTTTTTATTCCAATTTTTTTCACAAAACCTATTAATTACCTGTTCTCCGCATTAAACTGTTCCGTTAATATAAAATATATGTAGACATTTAATATTTACCCTATGCACGGTTTCATTATTAATTCAATGTGCTTATTATTTTAGGAGTGGATTTTGTTTATTAGACATTCGAAACGGGAAGACGAGGGGCTGTATAAGTGCCAAGTTTGCTCACAGTCAAATTTTAGTAACAGCATTTACGTGAACTTAAAGTTAATAGGTAAGTTAAGAACTTATACACAGAAAAATAATAAGTAAATATTAAACCTGATATGATGTCTTTTCATTTGAAACAATGTACTAAGGTAACAATTACACAGATTAGTAGCGATAGGTTAGTCAGTTTATTTTTTTAAGATTTAAGTAAAAAGCAATTGTAGTCCTAAACGCAATGTCCTAATAATGATACTGCAAGCCAGCAATATGTCTTTATTACTAAAGTTACAATTAATTCGAGTATTACTTTTAAATTGATTAAGTTTGACATAGTTATTAGCAAAATTTGATAAATAAAAACAATATTTTTAACGTTAGACACAGCAACTGAAAATTCTGATCCCTACCCACAAGTTTACTTAGAGTCCAGTACACTCATAGGAATTCTGATATTTTTTTTGGTACAAGGAATTCTCATAGTTAAAGTTTTCTATAGTTTTCGACCAATCTTGCTTTTTCAAGAAATATATTGCACCTATTAAGTGTTCTTCTAGTTTCGTTTTATCTAACCACGGTTAATGATTTTTTATTTAAGAGGAGATTTGTACTAAGATTTGTCAGGGCCCATTTTGAGTAATATGTATTTATTTTTTTTCTATTGTAGAAGCTTGGGCAACGATATTAGGCGATCCTGAGAGGAAAGCGGTGAAAGTGGGATCGCCTCTACGCTTAAGCTGTGAACTGAAAGATTCCATCGAAGCCCCCAAGTACATCTTTTGGTATCACGATGACAGGGTGATCAATTACGATTTAAATGACGGTGCAACAGTACGTGAAGGTCGTCAAGGAAGCGAACTGATTTTTCCAAGGGCGCAGAGAAATCATACTGGCAACTACTCTTGTGTACCTTCGAACGCTAGAGAGGCTAGTGTCGAGGTGAAAATACAAAGTAAAGTATACATCGATATAGTTATTTTTCACCGATCGACATTAAAGGTGTAGTTTTAATAACAGCTATCAGGCAATAAAGTGTTACATTTTTACTGCCTCTAAATAAAAAATTTAAATGTGCTCTTTAACGAAAGTAATTTTATTTATTGTAAACATTTATAGTGAAATTAGAACAGCCTATAAGGGATATCCCTTGTCCTGTTTGTTTTGAAACATTTACTTCGTCTATGTAGGTTGAAGTGTTTTCACTAGTAGATGATTTACGGACTATTGAATCCTCCAAAGTGGTTGAATTATTTTAAAAATCGCTTCCAGCACTTGATGTACTTGCAGTAGGAAATTTTTTTGTGTTAACAACTGATTTACGAGTTATGGACTTCTCAATGAAGCCTTCAGCTACCGTTGAAGATTTCCATCCACCATTCCATCCAATTTTTAATATTGCGATATCAGCTCCTAAATTTATTAATAGTGTAATTGAAGCTCTACGGAAACAATGTCCGGTATTTTCGTGAGCATCTTGAGAAACGCAACAACTTGTTTTGGCATTTTCTCAAATGTATGAATTCCTATTATGTGATCTGTTACTACTAACTATTTTTGCAAGTCTAGATATACTTATGTCTGTCTAAATATTCGCTTACAATATTTATTTTCCTTTGTTTTATTTTCTATTTCCCATATCTTCAATATCTTCAATTTTTTAACGTGCCAACATATTCTAATGGAATTCTTATAATATGTTTGAGAATATGGTATACAGGGTGTCCCAGTGTCAGCGTACAAAAATTTACCAGGGGGTAGACCAGACTAAAATAAGATTAAAATTCTTATAAAATATTTTTCTGCGATGCACTCTCACTGAGTTACAGGGTGTTGTTTAGAAAAAAATAAAAACTTTCCGCAAAAACTCAAAAACCCTTTCAAGGATTTAAGTAATTTTTGGGTGAAGTGTACATCTATTTAAGGTCATTAAAACTACGTCGTGGTTATTTCGATCTGACGCCAGGGGCGGCCTAGGGCAACATGTCCTCAAGGTTATGTCTTCATAACTTTTGCATATCCTAGTTTTATGTAATTTGATTACGTTTTCCTGAACTTGCAATCGATTCTGAACAAAAAACGTGCTCTTGTTTCATAGCTCAAAAATGAACCATTTTCGAGTAAATTGGATCTAAAGTATCGACTGCATTAGTTCGTAGAAAGATGCATGTAAAGACTTTATTTCTTGTTATCTAGTTGGTACCTGTCATTATAAAAAACAAAGTTATATACCGTTGAGGTACAGTTTCCCATGTACCTGCGGCTCAATGAATATGAAGAAACTAAACAAGTTTTCTACGAATTATTTAATATTTGGTTACCTATAGGGGAACTAAAAATAAAATTGAAAATTTTGTAACAGAAACTAAATTATGTTAGCAAAATGACATTAAAAATAAAAATAGAAAACAATTATTTCCATAAATGCTAGAAATGCTGTCCATTTACTTCAATGTATGCCCCACATCGTTTGACCAAGGAATTGTAAACCCTTCACAAATCAACGATTACTTGAATTTGCTCGGCGGCTACATTAATTTTTTTAAGTAAATCGCCTCTCGAGTTTGGCATACACCAGTTACTTCATATGACCCCAGTAAAAAAAATCAAGCGGGTTGAGGTCGGGGAACCAGGGAGGCTACATAATAGGTCCATTTTTTCCAATCCAGCGTTTTGGAAAATGTAAATCGAGCCACGCATATACCTGTCTTCCGTTACGAGTAGTTGGTAGTACATTTTATTTCTATATATAGTAAAAATATAATGTATTATATTTTTATTTATTTTAATTATAAGAATGCTAATTTTCCAGCTCTTTACGAAGAATTATTGTCAACTGATTGGTCTTGTATATCTTCTGTCCCTAATATAAATGATCTAAGGTGATAATTTTGGAGCTTCTGGAAACTAACCCTAATTCTATTTAAGAGATGGTACCTAACATGGTAAGAATAGGTTCGGAATAAACTTGGCTTTTTATATATCCCCACAGGAAAAAGTAGACAGGTGTCAGATCAGGAGATCTAGGCGGCCAACTTCAAGGTCCGTTACAACCAATCCAGCGGTCATCAAACATTCCTGTGACTTCTTGATATATATATACTTCGTGGGTAGAATGTGCTGGAGCTCCATCCATTTCATACCAACTATTTAGAACATAGATTGTCTAAGATGTTTGTCTTAAACTGTTTAGATTTTCATTATAAATTTCGTAATGAACTTGGTCACCCATAATCATTGCAAATACGTTGACACCAAGAATCCTGATGGTGTGTCTCCTTTATAACGTGTGGATTTTCACAGGCCAAGTAGTGCATATTCCTTCGATTTATTACACCGTCTCTGATAAACTTTTAGATCCGACCAGATGATTTTTGATAAGAACTGTAGATCCTCTCGAATTTTTGAATTTTGATTTTTTATGAGCTAAAATTCGCAAAATTCTGTTCTCTTAGGAAACAGATAATATTGCTAGAGATATTTCAGTTTTCTTTTGTGTATCGTCTAAATACAAAAAAATGGTTGTTTATTTAACGGTTATCTTTCTGTTTTGTATAAAAAGTTGTAGTATTAGAGTTCTCTCTTTGTAACACCAGCAATACTGTATAATCTTTATTATCTTCCGTTCGGAATAGAAAAATTATGTCTATCATAGACAAAATAGCTAAGCTATATTGTTTGTGTGTATTAAAATATTATGTATATTTACATATTTATGTTACATGTGACTTTTTATTCCAATTTTTTTCATAAAACCTATTAATTACCTGTTCTCCGCATTAAACTGTTCCGTTAATATAAAATATATGTAGACATTTAATATTTACCCTATGCACGGTTTCATTATTAATTCAATGTGCTTATTATTTTAGGAGTGGATTTTGTTTATTAGACATTCGAAACGGGAAGACGAGGGGCTGTATAAGTGCCAAGTTTGCTCACAGTCAAATTTTAGTAACAGCATTTACGTGAACTTAAAGTTAATAGGTAAGTTAAGAACTTATACACAGAAAAATAATAAGTAAATATTAAACCTGATATGATGTCTTTTCATTTGAAACAATGTACTAAGGTAACAATTACACAGATTAGTAGCGATAGGTTAGTCAGTTTATTTTTTTAAGATTTAAGTAAAAAGCAATTGTAGTCCTAAACGCAATGTCCTAATAATGATACTGCAAGCCAGCAATATGTCTTTATTACTAAAGTTACAATTAATTCGAGTATTACTTTTAAATTGATTAAGTTTGACATAGTTATTAGCAAAATTTGATAAATAAAAACAATATTTTTAACGTTAGACACAGCAACTGAAAATTCTGATCCCTACCCACAAGTTTACTTAGAGTCCAGTACACTCATAGGAATTCTGATATTTTTTTTGGTACAAGGAATTCTCATAGTTAAAGTTTTCTATAGTTTTCGACCAATCTTGCTTTTTCAAGAAATATATTGCACCTATTAAGTGTTCTTCTAGTTTCGTTTTATCTAACCACGGTTAATGATTTTTTATTTAAGAGGAGATTTGTACTAAGATTTGTCAGGGCCCATTTTGAGTAATATGTATTTATTTTTTTTCTATTGTAGAAGCTTGGGCAACGATATTAGGCGATCCTGAGAGGAAAGCGGTGAAAGTGGGATCGCCTCTACGCTTAAGCTGTGAACTGAAAGATTCCATCGAAGCCCCCAAGTACATCTTTTGGTATCACGATGACAGGGTGATCAATTACGATTTAAATGACGGTGCAACAGTACGTGAAGGTCGTCAAGGAAGCGAACTGATTTTTCCAAGGGCGCAGAGAAATCATACTGGCAACTACTCTTGTGTACCTTCGAACGCTAGAGAGGCTAGTGTCGAGGTGAAAATACAAAGTAAAGTATACATCGATATAGTTATTTTTCACCGATCGACATTAAAGGTGTAGTTTTAATAACNTAGATGGTATGGGTGCATTTCTTCTCGGTTTAAAATTCTCCAGACTCTGCTTCGTGGAGTACCTACTTACGCTGATATTCTTGGGACACTGGTGGGAGGATTATCAACAACAGCAGCTATTACATTTTCTTCCAAATTACCTCTTATTATGGTATTTTCAATTTTAACACTCCCAGTCTCACGGACTTTTTGGAAAACTCGTTGGAATACGTGCTGTGAAGGTTGTCTTCTATTTGGAAACCTGTGTAGATACTCTTGTGAGGCCATCAATGAATTTCCATCACAGAAACTATAGACAAATATCATATCGGCATATTCGCTGTTAGA